TTGCTTTTGTGGGAGATTAGTGCTAAAATGTTACCACAATAGAAACAATGTCATAACAGATGTTATCTTAGGGATCTGAGTCAGTTTCAAAAGATTTACCTTCCTTATCACAAGAGTTCATTGTCATAATGTCTGACCAGGCTCTGAAATGGGATTGAGGTGGTTTTACAATTCGTGATGTACAGTAGTCACAAATTTGAGCCATTTTCAACAAAAGTATTGTTACCTCTTTTAAGTGGTATAGTTTACTTCTTCTACTTCTTCAGCCAATGGGACAAATTCCAGCTGTAATTTTGGTACACTGTACATTGTACATTTGGTACAATTTGGTAAATTGTATTTGGTACAATTCGTGGAAAATTTTTAAAAAATAATGAAGACCTGGTTAAAAAGAAAATAACTTTTGCTATTTTTTAAAGACTTCTTTCCTTGCTATGGGAGTCATCATCTTATAGGTCTTGCTACAATTAACCAACAGCCTTTTCCCAATATAAATTCATGGCAACATGAGCTAATGTTAGTTTAGGGACAGGATGCTGTTTAAGTCCCACTATAATCAGATCAGCCAAAGAGTATAGTGTTTGTATAACATGGCACTATAGCCATCCAAATGTTTTTGGCTTATAATTCCCAGCATGCCTGACATCATAGCGAATAACATAAGTCTCTGAAAGTCCCAGGGTTTGTTCCTATACAAACCTATTTTATTTTGGAGATCCACATAATGTTTTCTTCATCCCAAGGTATTTCTTGGGAACTGCTGGCATTGTTCTTCTATGCCGTCAAGTTGTTTCTGACCTATGGCAACCCTAAAGTGAACCTATCATGGGGTTTTCTGGGGCTGAGAGTGTGTGATTCACCCATGGTAACCCAGTGAGTTTCCATGCCTGAGCAGGGGTTCGAACACTGATCTCCGGAGTCACAATCCAACACACAAACCAGTACACCACAATGACTCTAGCCTGCTTTACCAAGGAATTTTCATTCCTGCTTCCTGGTTCAGTTTAAATGAACCCAGTATTTTTTAAAATGGTGTGTATCAATACTTGGCTGTCTTTTCCCCTTCTTTTCTATGGTGCAGCTACACTGCAGAAAGAATGCAGTTTGACGCCACTTTTAGTGCTGTTGCTCCATCCTATGGAATCCTGGGATTTATAGTTTTACAAGGTCTTTAGGTATGGAAGGTATGGAATTCTTGGAGGTCTCTTATTCATAGCGTTGGCATAAATTGAAGTAGACCTGACAACACTACCATAACAACTAGAAAAAACCCAGTTTGAGGTGCCTGTTCCACATTAAACTTGTACATTAAACTTAGGGTTTAATGTACAAAACCCTAGGGAATTTTTGAAGAAATACTAGGTTTAGGGATCATAATTGGCCCAACTTTTCTAGAGGGTTGAGCCACAAGGCTGTTGTTTCTGTCAGCTACCTTAGTAATTTATAGTTTCTTTTTCTCCCTAAGGAACATACAAGGAATTCACCCACACCCAGAAACAGACATGGTAATTTCCTAAATGGTCTACATATCAGAAGAAAGCCCAGAAGAACAGGAGATCACAGAATATTTTGGGCAGTTTACCTGATTTAGGGAATGGGTGGAGAAGAGAAGAAAAATAAGCTGTTTACTTAGGAACAGAATAACAGAGCTCATGAGCTATTTCCCCCCCCCAGTAAAAAAGGCATTTGTTTTAATGTATCCTCAACATATTTCAGATGATTAAAGGGGAAAAATCATAGAGGGACTTAAATTTGTCCCATATGGCTTGCATTGCTCTTTGGTTGAAGACAAATAGGCACTGCTATTTCAGCACAAAGCAATGAGCCCATTGCCAAAGGATTTCCCTATTTCCTTTCCCCCTCCAGGTTTGTCAGACTTTTTAAATGAAGTGATAAGTTATGCAAAAATCTTATATATGGATAATCATTTGAGGGATGGGTGCAAGTGAGAGGCAGCTGCTCTCTCAGTGCAAAAATAAAAAGGCAGAGAAGAGAAATGGAGAGAGAGAGACAGCATGTGCATTTGTATGTATATTTCTGGTTTGGAGGGTTTGGATTTTCTGGCTAACTCTGATGCGCATCTGTGTCCCATTGGTCTTATTACACAAACTGCCAATCCCATGCAATGCTTGCTCATTGGAAATCTCCTGGTTGCACCTAATCAGGAGTTAAGTCAAAGGACATTCACAGTGCAAAAGTCCACTGAAAACCAAAAGTGAGATTTTGAATGAGCGTAAACAGACATCACTACATTCTCAAAGTGGTTTGTAGTAGTGAAGCCTACAGTAGTGTTTCTCAGATTATCTGAAGTGGGTAGGCTGACATATGTACCATTTTAAATGGGACAGTACTGACTTCTACCGCCCTATTTCCAGACTGTCCCGTTGTTTTAACGTAAATATCAATTTTGTCCCTTTTTCAAGACAAATGTCCTGTCATGATGCAAAAATGGTTTGAAGAACCCTGTTTGAATCTGTGATTGTCAAAAACCCCAAATCCAAAATTGTGTCATGGAGTATGAGAGGTTTTATGATATGGCGTTGAAAGACCAAAATTTTCTGTGTAATATTACTGCATCAGAGAAATATTCATGGTACGATCGTGGTGAAATACAGTCCCCCTCTACATCTAAATTTTTGTATGACTTCTGTCACTGAAGAATAATTGTTAGCTCATTATGTTCATATAATAAAACTTTTGTTATCATCTTACTTTTTCCTGAATACAGAATATTACATAAGCCTGTCCTGTTTTTGCCATCCCAATGTCCCATTTTTGGCTCAAGGAAATATGGTCAGCCTACAAGTGGGGGACTGGCAATTACGGTATACCCCCCTCCATCAATGTGCCAAGGATTTGTGTCCATCTGGATACATTTCTTTCTTTCTTTCCTGGAAACTTACCTGGGACCAACAGCCAATGGCTCAGGAGCCTTCAGTGCTATGGGGACCACCACTTTGAGTAACACTGGCATAGAGCAAAGCTTCATAAACTATGGATCATGACCCATATAGGATTGCATAACTGAATGTGGGGGTTGTGAAAAATATGGCAACAGTAAAAGGTTTCTGAATGCGTAACGACCAAAAATTAATTCAAAATCAAACATGTAATTAATCCAAGGTATTTCTGGCAGTGCTTGCCAATGTTGCATTGCACAACTTCACTTCACCCTTGGTTCTGAAAAATACAACTTGCACACTTTGCACTGCACATGCAATAATGCCATGCGCTGCCAATGAACACGGCCAGAAACACCTCAGCTCAGATACAAGACTACTGTGTGAATTGCAGTATTTTTACTGTACATACAGAGTTTTCTACTCTCACAGAAATATAATAGTTTAATTATGGGAAATAATGTCTTTTAATATTTTCCTAAACTCATTTCTCATCATGTAAGTATCAAATTAGTGTATCTTTGGATTGTATTGTGTTAGAATGTTTGATTTTAAAATAAAATTCTTTAGGGTTTATGTTTGATTTGTATATTTTATATACAGTCAGCCCTTCTTATCCACAGATTTTTTATCCATGGATTCAAGCATCCACAGCTTGAAAATATTCAGAAATAAGTATAAATTTCAAATAGCAAACCTTTATTTTTCCATTTTATACAAGAGACACCATTTTGCTATGCCGTTGTATTTAATGGGACTTGAGCATCCACAGATTTTGGTATCCATGGGGGGTTCAAACCCCAGCGGATAACAAGGACCTGCTGTATCTATATACCTGGGGTCACATAAAGGGGTTAGAAGTAGAAAAAAGTTTTAAAGCCCCTGGCTTAGAGTTCAGAAGAAATGTAGGTAGTCAACAGAGCTTGGAAATGTTATTATTATTATTATTATTATTATTATTATTATTATTATTATTATTATTATTACAGCTCCTAGAATCTCCTACCAGTATGGTATGGTGTTCCCTTTGTAATAAATGAATATATATGACAGTACAGTGACTTGGCTCTCCTTCTGCATTTCCCAGTTTATTGTCACAAAGAGGTAGGTCGAACTGAAAAATACAATGACTCCTTTAAGTTCACCCACCCAGTGATTTTCATGGTTTTTCATGAATCTCCCAGATTCCAAAGAACACTCAAACTATTATACAACACTTGCTTTCAATACTTTAGATCCAAGACTTTAAAGCTGACTAGCCACCAGCTTTTAAAGGCAAATCTTTAAGTGGATTTAAATAAAAATGCTTATTACCCTCAGTCTAGATGGGTTTTTTGACATATTAAAAATGTCAGATGGGTAACAATTACATCAGAAAAAATCACCACTCATAATGAGAAGGCTGTCTCTAATCTCTTTCATTACACTGTTACAATAATACACTAGAATCAGGAAGGAACAAACTCCAAAAATAACTCATCTGGCACCACCACTGATTAAAATTGGTCCCTAGAAATTAGTTTTAACTGATTAATCTACTAATTAAAACTTGCGCCCCTAATTTATGGTGTTTCTGTTTTCTATCTTACCCACCCAGCACTTAACTTTTACCAACTGCCAGGAAGTGAAACGTAATACCATGCTTTTTAGATTGTAGCTACAGGGTCTGGAAACGGTGATTTTAAAGCCTACTTGTGGTCTCTTCCAACTCTATGATTCTATGATTCTAAAAACCTTTTATTTCTTCTGACATGACCTACACGAAACTGTTCATACTTGTCAGTAACACAGATCCACAAGCCACTTGTCAAAAGCAGAAACATCGCTGCAATGTTCTATAACCTTTAACATTTTAAAGATGAAAACTGGGACACATTTGACCAAGCAACATCAGAATGTAGTAAAGATGGCAAAAGGTACTAGTGAGGAAGAACACACAAGCTAGGAGAGGCCGCAGCTGTTTGCTTTTGCCTGGGCTTACTGGGATGAACAAGATATTGTCACCTTCTCTCCTCCCTTCTGAGCTGATTGGATCCAAAATACTGTTGCATTCTGAACAGATTTTTCATCAGTGGAAGTAAGCCAGGGACAATGGATGAAGGTGGGTGGAGGAGAGAAACTGGAATATTTTAGAAGCAGCAGAAAAGTATGATGATTGATGATTAATTGGAATTGTGCTTGCCGAATAGGGACAGTTGGGAGGTTATGGGTATTGTAATACTATATTATGGCTCATTCGCATGGGTCTGACATGCCTAAGCCTATGGGCAAGCACCTTGGGCTTATATTCACTTCTCATTTCCCTCTTCTCCTGTGCATCAACTATAAGAAAGAGATTAGAAACTTTGGCATCCATTCTCAACTAACCACAATTTCTTGTTACATCCAACCAGGAAGCATGGTTAGTATTAACTATGTTTTCAGCAAACAGGCTAGGAGAATTAATTGTGGTTGGGTGATAGCTTGCATTAGTAAACCATAGGCTCGAAACAGATGGGCCAAAAGCACTGGCTTTTCAGATGATGCACTTCCCGGGATTGGTTGATCTATGCCGTTGCAGCCCAAACCCAGCCGCAAAAGGAACACAAAAGCAGCACTCTGCCAGTGGTCCATTGTGGATTGTGGCTGGCCTTGGGACCACACTGTCTGGTCACCGTGCTCCCAAGTTGAAAGAGGAGCGATCGGGGTCTTTTGTCCCAACTGCTCAACACCATAGTTAACATTAACCACAGCATGTCCAAGTAAGTCATACGCAGTTTGACATGAGAACAAATTATGATCAGTTGAAAATGGAAACAAAAGCTTCCAATTTTCCTCTTTGTGGCTTCTGCTCAAGAGGATAGGGAAGCAGAAGTCCAAGACTTGTCCACATAATGCTAAAGTACAGTTTAGCATTATGTGCAAACAAATAATTGGATTTCAGTCAAACAGCTCATGAAATGGCACCTTCACATAACATTTAACAGACCAGCTCTTTTTCAGTTGCAAAATATTCACAAATGTAAGCTGTAGGAGGTAAAGTTCTTAACTCTTTTTCGTCACCTGCCCCTGCCTAA